TATTGAATATTTAAGAATATATATGAGAATATAAAAATAGAATGTTACCATTCTATTTTTATATTTATCCAACAGGCCTGCCCTCCTGCCTGCCTGCCTGCCCGCCAGCCTTCCTTCTTTCCTTCCTTTCCTGTCTTTTTTTTTTATATATATAAAAAGAGATGAGTACTCACTCTGTTGCCCAGGCTAGAATGCAGTAGTGTGATCACAGTTCACTGCAGCCTCAAACTCCTGGGATCAAGTGATGCTCCTGCTTCACCTCCCAAGTTATTGAGACTACAAGCATGAGCCACCAAGCTCAGCACCCCCCTTCTCAATATAGTAAAGCAACAACCACCTACAAATAATTGCACAGGTTTTATATCACAATAAAGAGATTTGGAAATTTGGATTGTGGTTTTGGTGCATTTTGCATAAGACTTACATGGTGTTATACGTCAGCCACTACTGGAGACTTAATATCCAGACTAAAGAAAGTTCTAATCATGGGCATAGTGGAAAGCACTTTCTTTTATACAAGGTTTTAGTGCTTCCTTTGTATTTTAGACACAAGGCACATGGCGGTTGAATAGATTAGCCCTTGACTTCAAGAGATAGGAGCTATAATCAGAGACAAAGATACACAAACAAATGCAGTGAGATGATGTCATTAACAGCTGTCATTTTTTTTTTTTTTTTTAGCACTTCCTAATAGCCAACTAACTCAGTGCTTAGCACTTCAAGTTCATCCTCGAGTTGGGGCTCAGATCATTTAAGTAACCAGCACAAGATTACATAGCTAGTAGTAGAACTAAACTTGGATCCAGATCTATTTTATCCAAAGCTTTGCTTTTATCCTATAGCATTCACACATGTTCAGTAGAAAAAAGAGATGCAAAGTTCAGGGAAAGATAAGGGGTAAGAGTATGTCAGGTGGGTGAATAGTATAGATAAGGCTCAGAGAAATTTGAGTAAGTATGACAATTTGCATATAAACAAGAAGTTCGCTATGATAGGAAGATAGTTAATTTATCTGTTTGTTCCGCAGATAATTGTTGAATGTATGTTGCCTGCCAAGGATTATTCTAAGCACCCATAATACCATAATACAGTGGACTGAGTAAATGGAGATTGGTAGGAGATAAGGTTAGAGAAGAAATCTACCCTCCAAGAGAGCAGACTTATTCTGTGACTAATCATAGGACCTGAACTGTCAATGGTAGACTTAAATTTTTTTTGTATTTTTTAATTGCACAAGTATTTCTCTGAATATATCCGGAGTATTTTTAAAACAACTTCCAGCCATATCATTCTATGGAGGATACACTATAAGAGAGATACCCGCTTGGTATATAGTTGGGAACTCTAATAATCAGAGAAGCATGATAAGGAAAAAGCTGCCTGGCAGCCACATGAACCACCAGACACTAGACAAACATCTTCCGTGGCTTCTGGAAGAAGGACTGGAGTTGAGATGAGGCAGAAGTTCTGGCAGAAATGACCTTCCATTTTTTCTAGATCTGTAATTCTATTTGTTTCCCACTATGTACAGAAAATTCTGTAGGCTAAGGGGAAAAGATAGAAGTAATAGAAAAAAAATAATTTTGTATGCATTTATGTTAAGACTACAGTTCATTTAGCTGAACTACAGTTGGGCCAAGGGCATTTATAAAGTGAAGGGAAAATTAATTTAAACCACAAAATAGTAAGAAAAAACTGAGGGAAAATTATTATAGCATGCATTTTCTTATGTATTGAACATTCTCTTGCTTAAAAGTTACTGAGTAAAAATGAAGACCCAGAGAAATTTCAGTACCATTTAGAAGACTGTTGCAGTCAGTCTGTGATCTCAGTCTGCTTCCCAAGCTGCTGAAATCCTCCTTGAAGGCACCAGTCCCTTAGATGATTCTGCAAGTTCCTAGGGTTAGGGTGTTCCTACGGTACCCTAGACTTTAAGACACTGTAGATAGCATCATGAAGAAAAGGATGGTTATTATTTCCATTTTATAATTTAATAAATGGGAAATGAAATAATTGTGACAAACAGTCAAAATGTTAATCTTGTCTGCCTCTGGCTTTTAAGCTTTGAGAATCAGACCAGGGGAGAGATTGGGTTTTATTTTTTTCCATGCTGGCCTGAGCTATTAGACATTAGGCTATTATTAGCATTTGACTTTTCTCATTGGGATTGAAAAATAATTAAAGACTGTGGATTCTAGAAGACAAGCTCCCTGGGGACGGACGTTTTGTCAGTTCTGTTCATGGCAGTGGCCAGAGCGCCTGAAGCAGTCCCTTGAATTAGCAGATAGTCCATCAATGTCTCTGTTATGTGTGAATAGATTGGTTAGCAATTATAACAGAAACTGCTTAAAGACCTTTGGGAAAATTTCTCCACCTGACTTTGCCAGAAATAATTCACTGAAATGGTAAGAGGGGCCAATAAATCTCGACCTCATTTCCTTTAAATGATGCAACTTGTCCACCTTTCATTCAAGATCCTAACTTACACATTTTTAGAAAACTCTCGACATTATGACAGGATTAAGTATATCCTTATTATGCATCTGGAGACATTTTAAAAAACCAGAATTTCTGGCTATATGGGGCTGTCATAAGGGATACGGCCCATAGGAAGTCGCCTGCAGCTGTCCTGTCATCCGACTCATCCCTTCCACATTTCTTATAAGGAGTCAGCTAGTTTCTGGCTACTTGCAATGATGAAGTGCTCACCATCTCACAGGGCAGGCTACCTCACCACAGGAGTTCCCTAAACATTAGCCATCCCCTTGACGTAGAACCAGAATCTCGCTCTCACTTCTGCTCATTCAGCTTCCTCCTTCCTTGGGATCAACACGGACGATGTCAACACCCACTCATCCATGACACTGCACTTTAGCACACTGAAAACAGCTACTGTATTTCATCTTAGACTTCTCTAGGCTGAACTCCACCTGCTGGTCTTGTAAAAACAATAGCAGCAATAGTTACTATTTTTGGTGTACCTACTTATATATCCCAAGTTCAGTTTCAGGCATTTTCCACACATTTTGGCTCATCGTCGCACTAATGTTAGAGATTTTATTATACTCACTGCTGGATGATGCAACCAAGGTCCCAAGAGGTTGGGTAATTAGCCCCAACTCACAAGGCAAATTCATTCGATGGGTGAACTAGAATTTAAACCCTGTCTACTAGATTCCAAAATCTAGAATGTTATTTCCACTTCAGTAGCTATTTATCCAGCCACTAACCCATCCAACAACAGCTGGTTGCCTGAGTCAAGCACTGTACCTACAAATGAAAGTAAGATGGATTTCCTCTCAAGTAGCTCAGTCTAGTGGGGCAGAAGAAACACAGTTACAAATAACCTTAGTACAGCAAAGTAGCTGATATTGAATCCCACCTCTTCAGCTTATGAACTATGTAAATGTGGGCAGTCTCATTGTACTTCATTTTTTTCTGATGTAAAGTGAGCAATTAATAATCTACTTCAAAGGGTTTTGTGAGGATTGAATGGGACAACACATATAAGGCACTTAGGAACAGTCCCTGGCACACAGAAAGTACTCAGTGAATAACAGCTTTAACTCCATATGCACAAGATATGGTGGGGTAAGTGTCCTGTTCGGGCTTGAGTTATTTAGGTTAGGTGGTGGTGCCACCAACATAGGGAGAAGAAGGGAGTTAACAGGTAGCATGTTTAGAGAAGGCTGTGATGAGTTGTGTGTTGAAAATACTGAATGTTTGATATTGGTGGACATTTACTATGTGACTCTGCAGCTTTGAGATGCCTGGACTAGGGATAAGGATTGGACAATCACCAGCCTCCAGCCTGTGAGAGGTAACCCAGGCAGAGATGGGGCGTGAGGGGCCCATGGGTGAAGAGAACCCACGTGTGCCTACACCCATCTTAGATTTTATTACTCCAAATTGTCTTTTACGTTTGATGGGGAATATGTATGCTAACAGTGCAGCCTTCCCATGTTCTCCTGATTAGACAAGCTAATGATCTGGAGGGGGAAAAATAAGAGGAAAACACAGCTTTATAAGAGAAAGAAAATACATTAGAAGTGCGATTACAAAGTCTCCTTGGAGAATTGGCAACCTTATCTTAAGAATTGTAGCGAGAGTATGTTTTCTTGCAACACACATGTCTCTGTCCAAAGTTTTGTCTTTCAAATATGTACTTTTCAGTTTCAGATTGCTTCCTTTCTGGCTTAAGTTTATTGCTGTCACCATAATGGCAGACATTTCTTCAGAAACACTCTTAGAGATGATTCTTAATTAACCCAAGAAGAATCCGTAGCAGGGAAAGAGAATAAACTTTGATGTTAGGTCAGGATTTCAGTTATGAATTTGCTACTTATTATCTGTGAACCTTTGAGCAAATTAGTGTCTTATTTGAGCCTTAACTTCCTCAGCTGTAAACAGGGTGATAATGTCTACTGGTTTATTTTAAGTATCAAATTAAATAATGGATAAAATGCACCTGTCATCTAATAGATATGCCGTAATTATTGGTTGCTATACTAACATTACCACCAATGTTGTTATTTGTTATTTTTCAGGAATTTGGACTTCAATTAGGAATAAATTTATATTAGAAGTCAGTTGATAATGATAATGATAGAAAATTGTTACATATTGTATCGCTATGTGCCAGTCACTATTCTAACACTTCCCATCTATTAACAGATTTGATCCTTATAACTGTGAAGTAAGCCTTAGTATCATGCCTGTTTTACAGATGAAGAGACTGAGGTTTAGACTTTAAGGAACTTGCTCATGTTACTGGTTTGGAAGTAATGAGACTGAGATTATAGACTACACAGAATTTCTTTTTACAGTCCTTTAGTAGAAAGTCTTGATCATAGGCTTCTTATGTCAGTGTTTGGATGTTTCCAAAACATGTATAGAACATATGCCAGTTAGAGTGGTTCTACCGTTAGGTAATATGTTTTTAAGATTGAATGCTCCATTAACAGCGTGACACTCTAAACAATGTCTGTCTCTAATTTCAGCCTGTGAAGTTGAAGCGGAGAAAGTGTACCAGGTCTCCTCAAAAGAGCACATGCAGCCTTTCAAAGAAAACATGGAACAATTTATTATTCAAGGTAAATTTTGTAGAGATATGTTATGTTTTCCTCCTTTTTCAGTAACAAGGTAGAAGACAATTTTTAAAAATTACACATTGGTTTAAAGGGGATTATTTTGATATTACAGAAAAACATTAAGTTTAATCAAGAGTAACAGAATTGTGAGAGGCTAGCAATTAGCTAAACATGCTATTTTGCGGATAATACTCATTATTATTGTTTTTTTGCCTGACAGCAAATACATTAGATATTAGTTAAACTTGCTCATATTTATAAAGACATTTAAAAAATTCTATGCTTTTTGTGGTAGAGAATTAGATATTCTTTTAAGTTTTAACTATGTTTATGACCTCAGTTAAATCTGGTATATATTTGGTTTGTCAAAACATTATACCCAAAGAACAAAATATATTGATTTTTTTTTCAGGTCTTCAGAACATTATTTGCTATTTTTTAATAGGATACATTATTACCAATGGATATTTATCACCTTTCTTCTAGAGAGGTTAAAAACTTTATAAATATTATCTCATTGACTCCTCCTACATGCCTATGAGATAAACAGAGATGAAAAATTTTAGAAAATACTAAATAAACAAAATTTTTTTTAAAAAGGAAAATATCTTTGAAAAGTCTTGCTATTTGAAATTATCGAAACTTACAATTATATCAAAGTGTTTAGTACTCAAAATATTTCAGTTTTGGAATGTTACACTGAAGATCAGACTTGTGTCATGCCATATCCTGGGAAAGTTCTTACTGCTTCAGGAATTCTTCTGGAGGCTGGCACGGCATGAGACCGAGGCCAAGTAGCATTCTGAAGACTGGCTCCATCCTCTGTTTGTTAGGTTTTTACAGATTGTTCAAGTGTCATTAACAATGATTTACAATGAATGAGTCATACTACAATTCGATCAAATGTTAAGCACAGCTTTTTTTTAGATGGGAAAGCACGATTTAATCATTTACGATAATCATGAAGATTGAAATAGAATTCTGGTCAGATTCATGAATCAAAATGATTGTCATTTTCAGATGCTGAGGTCCTCATGACTTAGAGTGGGAAATATACTCACTGATTCCTAAAAAGTCCTTTGGCCAAAATCATTAGTCCTGTAGTTATATATTAGAAGACCCTCTTACTGGTGAATAAAACTGTCTTGCTTTTTCCATCCAGTGGGGTTTTAGGATCAAGAATATGTAACTTTTAAAAAATGTATCTGTCACTTTAGAAAATAATATAGGTAAAAGCATGGAATGCTCATTTTGGACTTGTGGGAAGAAAGGAGTTCTTAATCCTAGGACTTGCTCAAAAAAGTCAAGCAGTTTGCTGGGTTCCACATCCAAAATGTAAACAAGTGTCACTCATATTGTCGCCCATATTGTATGTGATTTATTGTGTAATATTCTGAATCTGTATTTTGTAGACCAGGCATTGAGATTGTTTTTTTGTGACTAAATCTTTGTTATTTTTTTTTTCAATGCATAGCAAAATTACATTTTGCAATCCATTGCAATTTAAAAAATTGTGTTTTCAACCCACACATGTTCATCAATATATGATATCTTTGATAATTATTTATGATGATTCGAAGGGTGCATAGAGTCCTTTAGAATTTGTCTAGTAGTTCGCTTGTAGGGAAGACAGGATTACCCAGTCATGCTAAATGGATGAGTATCTATTCAGACTTTAATGATCTTCCAGAAAGATCTTTTTACCTCCTTGTTATGAAATTGAGATTTAGCAATTTTTATACTTTTTATATTAAATGAAAACATCAGTGTTGTAAGGATACTAACCTATATGCTATATTCTTATAAGTATGGCATGCTTCACCTTTTTGCCATTAAATTAAACAAGATGAGTCTTTCTTCGTGGCTCTTCTTCCACTACTTTCAAGTGCCTTTTTATTTCTTCTCTGGTCCTGTTCAAGTGTTCTGTGTTTATTTGTTCATTATAATATTTTTTATAATTTTTTTAATTTTAGATTTGTATGCGTTCATGGGCCACAAGTGAAATTGCCACACTGATACATTGCATTGTGGTGGAGTCAGGGCCTTCCGTGCATCCATCCATAGGAGCTACGCACATTGTACCCCCCAGGCAACCTCCCGTCATGCACCTCCCTGCCACCTTCCCCCACTCCAGTCCCCATTGTTCATTATTCCGCACTCTGCTTCCATGTGCACACATCGTGTAGCTTCCACTTATAAGTGAAAATATGCAGTATTTATCTTTCTGTAGCTGAGTTGTTTTACTTGAGATAATGGCCTCCAGTCTCTCGCCCATTCTTTCCCCCTTTTATCTATTACACAAAATGGTTATGTGGACATTTGTGTTCACAACTCCTGGTGTGCATGCATATTCTCTCCTTGTGGTATAAACCTAGGAGAGGATTTGCTGGGGCACAGAATATATGAGTCTTCAGCCTCTGCGGTAAAGCCAAAGTGTGTTATTGATAGGAAAGTAATTAGTTCCAATCTACATTCTACTGCCAGAATCCAATTGTGTTAAATCCTTGGCAGCACTTGGTTCTTAGATTTAATTCTTTTGACCCAATCTACTCTTTAAAATGGTATCCCATTGAGGTTTTAATTTGTATTTTCCTGATTATTTATAAGAAGTAGTGTATTTTCACGTTATTTATAGTTATTTATAGTTATTTTCTCTTCTATGGGATGCCTTTGTGAGTCCTTCGGCTGTTTTTCTAACAACTTGCCTGTCTTTTACTTATGGAGTTATTAGGGATTATATATTAGGGATTAGGGATTATATTAGGAATTATATATTTAGAACATTAAAACGTGGTCAGATAAATTGTTGCAAACACTTCTCCCATTCTGGAGCTTGTCTTTTCATTTTTCTTCTGCTGAGCATTGATAAACAGAAGTTCATTATTTCTGTGTAGTGATATTAACCTTTTCCTTGATGGTGCATAAAATTTTTGCTCTAAGAAATTCTTCCCTTCTACAAATTTATAAAGATAGTGCCCTTTATTTTCCTGTAAAAATATCATAGTTTTGCTTTCACATTAATCCTTCAGTGTATTTGGAATTGATTTTTGTCTATGATCTGCAATAGGAGTCAAATTTAATTTTTGTCATACAGATAATGCCGTTTTAGTTGTTTAGTACCGTGTAATGAATAAGCCACCTTTTCTCTAATATGCAGTGCCATCTCTGTCATGTAGACATCTTCCATATATGTATGTGTGGTTTTCTTGGGTTTTTCTCTCTACTATTTTATTAGCCTCTTTCCATTATCTGTCCTCATAACAAAACCTGCTACTGTCTTACTTACTGTAGCCTTCTAATAAATCTTGAAATGTGGAAAGGCTAGACTCCCGCCTCTTTAGGGGAATTGTGCCTCTTTGTAATTTATTCTGCTATGTAATTTTAGAATTAAGTTGTCAAGTTCCACCAAAATAAATCTATTAAGATTTTGACACAATTACATAGAGTCTGTAGATCAGACTGGGGAAAACTGATATCTTTATGATATCGAAGCTTTCTATCTATGAACATGGTATAGACTGGCATTTACTTGTATCATCTTTTTTAGACGTCTGTCTAAAAAGTTTTAAATTTTATTGAGGTCTTCACATTTTTCATAGATATATCCCTAAAGACCTTATTTTTTGCTTATAATATATTTGTGAATTACATTTACTGTTTTTGAAAATATATAAAATTCAAATAGCTATTATATAAACATATTCCATCTTATAAACTTGCTAAACCCTTCTTAATATAATAATATGTGATTTTTTTTAAGGTTTTCTTTGGAGATATCACTGCAAATAATGACAGGGTTTTTTGTTTTTTTTTTATTGCTTTCTAGGTTTTTTTTTTTTTTTTTGTCCTTCCATTTGTTTTTTCTGGCTGTGTTGCATTGGCTGGTACCTGCAGTGTAATACGGACAGAAAGAGTGGAAATGTCATTTTGCAAAGGGGCATGATTAGAGGATTAGAAAGAATTATTTTGAGCATCTTTGTAAACAAATTACCACAAATTGATTGAAGATTTTCTTATTTATTTTTTTCCTCTACTACTTTGCAAGTTGTATTCTGTTTCTTTATTCTTTTAATGTATACCTTTGTTATTTTGACACAGTTCTTTTTGTGTATTTTTAAGGTAGCACAGTGTTTTGATACACATGTACCTAGTAACATGATTACTATAGTCAAGCAAATGAACATACCCATCATTTCACATAGTTACCTTTATGTGTGTGTGTGTGCACGCGCGCGGTAAAAGTACTTACAATCTATTCTCTCAGCAGACTTTCAGTATGCAAAACAATGTTATGAACTATAGTCCTTATGTTGTACAATAGATCTCTGGACCCATTTATGCTACATAATTGCAATTTTATACCCTTTTTCTCTACCTCCCCATTTCCCCCAACCTCCCACCCTGTCTAGTCTGTTTCTGTGTATTCAAGTTGTTTATTTGGTTGGTTTTGGGGGTTTTTTTTAAATTTATTTTTTTAGACTACCTATATAAATGAGATAAGGCAGCATTTTTCCTTCTGTTAAAACAATTCTTTAACAAAGTTTAACGTTTTACTTCCCTCTAAACAATACAAGTCCTTAGCATGTTTTAATACTAATCTCACCCATTTATTTGTATGCCATTCTTTTCCAGTGTTTTAGTTTCATTTTATGTTTTTTAAAACTCCTAAAATATAGAATTATTATCGTTTTATATATTCATTTTTCAGTTTAAATTTAACCAAATGCCATTTTCTTTGCGTGCCATTCCTTCGTATTATGCCTGCCTGCTAAGATTATTTTCCTTCTTTCCGAAGCACGCCCTTTACAAGTTACACTTTGTGTGGAAATATCTATTGTGCTTGTTTTTTAGAGATAGATTTGCTAATTATAAAATTCTGGGTTCAAAGTAAATTCCTTTCAGCCGTCTGGAGGCCTCCGATTCCTCTCTTTCCTTGCTACATTGACAACTCGACTTGGGTCCAATTTTTGTTTCTTTGTTTTTAATCTAAATTTTCTCTCAGG